GAAATGATGTTTGGAAATAAAAAGTTATTTGAAAGTAAGGAAATTCTCTGACATTTTTAATGCCAAAATGAAAAATTATTTAAAGTAATTGTAATGTATGTTTTAAAATAGCGAACCCAAGTAGGAACTAAATTTGAAGTCCCAAGCGACTGTCTTTACAGAAAACCTTCACAGCTAAGTTGTGAAGACCACAGAAGGCCTGTCTCTAGGACACAGGTCTGCATTGTGTGGAGACTTCACAGAAGTGCTTTCTGAACAGTGGACATTCCCTAAACACACTTGGGCAAGAAAGGATGGTGCCCTGTGCATGGGGCATCTGGCCATGACTACTGGGGATAGACAGTTGTAGTGGCTGCGCCTTCCTGCTCGCGTCAGGCAGGCAGCGGCTTCTGTGTCTTAAAGAACCATCTTACTGGTGTCCTTGTCATCTGAAGGTTCCTAAGCAGCCAGGACCTAAATTCAATGACACTTTAGTCCAAGTCATACATATCTTTTGGTAGCACAAACATATTTTCATGTGTAAACTGGAAATAAAATTCTGCCAAAACTCCAAATTAGTGATTCTGGGGTTCAGTATTATTAAGTGGAAAATGTATGCAATTATAGAATTGACATTTCTGGCTGACTCCACCTATTCTTCTTTTTCCAGTCATGACAGAACCATGCAGGACATTGTTTACAAGTTGGTACCGGGCCTCCAGGAAGGTGAGTGTCACATGTCTCCTGAGGCCCAGCCTGTTCTGGGAGTGGCAGAATCAGCGTCCTGCCTGAAACCTGCTCTTACCTCACTTGCATCCCTTGGCTAGCTCCTCCACCGCCTTTCTGTTTATTCATCCAGCAAACTACATGGAGCCCCTGTGTAGACAGAAGGGGTCTTGGACCCCCCCTCAAGGTCCTGCCCCACCCTGCCTCACCATGACCACGGGGCAGCGAACAATACACTTTGTCAGAGCAGACAGCTGGGATGCCAAGAAAAGCCTCACTATAAAGTCAAATTTAATTTAGCATTAAAAAGAAATATTAGGTGGTACAAATGCTTTGAGAGTAGAAATAAGTTTCTTAGGAGCTGCTATGTCTGGGTTTTCCTCCTTATGGATGCTGAGCAATAGCTGCCTTTGTTGAGCAGGAGAGTGGCCCCTACTTCATTCAGGCCTGGGAGTCCAGCTCACAGACCAGGCACATTTGCTTTCAAAGATGTTTAAAATTCATTTGGGCTGTTTTTCACTGCTGTATTTCAGAAAAGGGTTATAATTTAAAATGCAGCTTAATGTGTTAAATCAGTAGAAATGCCTTTCTGACTTGGGGAAATGATACTGTTAAAGATTCTTTTACTAGTCACAAAATTCATTCATATAAGAATTTAGATTTCCTGAAAATCTTAATGTCTGTGTGTTTTTGAGTCCTAGAGAAAGGCAAAGAATGCTTCAAATAAAATGCTGAGACCTTATGCAGTGTTTGCAGTGGGATGTTCTAACCTGTAGACATTCTTGTGGGACCGGGAGCTCCGTGCTCCAACCTGCAGCCACAACCATGCCGTGTTGTTTTACTGCTCCCCTCACCTCACCCCATGGTGTGTAGTGTACAGCCCTGCCAAAATAAGGATTTTTTAAAATATATATAACTATATTGCCTTTATAATATTTCAGAAATAGCAATAATTATTTAATAAAACACCCACTAAGTATTCCATCTTTAGTTGTCATAAACTCTGTGTTTTGGGGGCTTGTTTGTTTTAATTTATCTCAGTCAAGATCTAAGTAAGTACCACACTGGGACTGAGTGTACGCCTCTTGTGGGTCCCTCCATCTCCCTCTTCCTTTTGTCCTGGGGTGTTCCCAAGTCAGGATTGCTGAGGGCACATAGGAGGACCTGTGGCAGTGAGGTCTGGGATGGCATCTGAATC